ATGTAATTTGTAAAGGTCATGTGGCAGAACCACACGCCAAGGGAGGCTACTTGGGAGCTAGAATCAAATTTTAGAGCCCAGTATTCCTATTTGTTCGACCAGGAGTAATAGGCAAATTTGGGGGACCAAATTTCTTTAAGGGGGGAGAGTTGTAATACCCTAATTCTTTTATTATTATTATTATTGGAATTATTTTTATTTTATTTTATTTTAATTTTTATAATTGATTTATTATGTAATAATTATATGATTTTAAATTTAGTTTAATTTAATTAAAAAAAAATAATGATAAAAGGGGTAAAATTATTTTTAGAATTTAATTGAAAATAATTTTGGGAAAAAGGGGTGAAAATTCGAATTCTGTGGATTTTTTTGAAAAGAAAATCGAAAACTGGAGGTCAAAACGCAATTTAAAAAAATTGTACCACATCAGCAGCCCCGGCCAACCAGGACATGCCGCGTGGCAGAGACGCTGACGCGGAAGGCCACACGAAACGAAGCCACGTGGGCAATCCGCGTGCACGCGATCGGACGGCTGAGATCGGTTCCCGCGCACACAGACAACCCAGATTGAATCATGCACGGAGGGCCTAGATCGCATCGCGATGGACGGTCCAGATTCATTCTCAATTTAATCGCGATCGGACGGTCCAGATTAAATCATGGTGGACGGCTCAGATTAAAAGACGAAGGTTATAAATAATCTCATCTATACCCAACCCCAAACCCTAGCCGCCAGAGCCCTCACCGGAGAAAACAACCCAGCCGCCGGGGAAACCGACCACCGCCACCCGCCGCCGCACCGGAGCACTTTCTGGCCGCCAAACGAGGCAAAATTTCTCTCATTGGCTCAGATTTCGATGTTGAACCCACATGTGGCCAAATCGGAGCCAAACCGCCGACCAATTGGCCGAAAAATGCCGCCGAAGTCCAGCGGTGTCGTCACGGGTTTTCTCAATTTTTGTCTCCGATGAGGCCCTTCCCGATTTTCGTTCGATGTAATTTTTACACCACTGTGGTCATCGTCCTTTTCTCTACAAGTTGATTGGAGCAAAACACCAAATTGCGACTCGTGCCGGAGGAGCCGCCGCACCCGAGAGCTCCGCCGCTGCTAAGTCTCGATTTTCTGTATTTTTCGGCCCACCGAGGGCCCTACGTGTGTTTCCTCGCAGGAACTGGTGCTAGTTTGGCTTAATTCGATCGAAAACGGCCGAAAACAGCCAAACTGAGGTGGATCGCCGCAGTGCCGAAATTTTAAAATTAGCCGAGGAGGCCCTGAGTCTGATTTAGAGTTTTTTGAGGACATGTGCAAGTACCGGAAGTGTGTTTCAGTTCCCGGAGAAAAATTTAGGGAATCTAAGGACTGCCCGTAGGCACAGTGAAAAACTGATTTTAGACTTCGAATCAAGTAAGAATCTCTCATCCTATTTTCTATCACGGTATTAAAGCTTAATAAATAATAAAACGGTATTTTATGAATTAATAGATATGTATAATTAATTAAGGTTGCTAATGGGGCCCAAATATGATATATTTTCGGTCAGTTATTGTTTTAGTTATTTTACAGTTTTAAATGCATTATGATGTCTGATCTATTTATTTTATAGTTTTAAATACATGAATCACTGTTTACTTCACTACTGCTTGATTTTGTGAATCCGATGATATGCCTGCATTGTTGGATGCTCGTTACTGGTTTAAATATTCATGATTATGTGAGAAACAGAAAACTAAGAAAATAATAGAAAAGGTATGTGAATTGATAAGTGGATAAGTCGACAGCCTCACTAGATATCCTGGGAGATAGTGGACGGACCGGGTCCATAGGAAACCCTACCAGGAACGTTGTCTCTCATACCGGATGGGGTATGGAGACTTTAAATGTTTTAGCGCTCATACCAGACGGGGTATTGAGGTTTACGATTTTGGCGCCCATACCGGACAGGGTATGGGGACGGCCCTGAAGTTAAGTTATTAAGGTGAATGGTTCACGTGTAGTGGGGACCCCTATGGATCCCCATGGATACTGATAGGCTGGTAAAAGAGAAAATTTGTTGCCTGATGATTGAAATATTAAAAGTATGACATGTGTTATATTACAAAGTGCGTATGATTTCATGATATTATAATGTTATTGTTTTTATAAGTTGTTTTCATTAATCTCACCGAGGTAAGTGGATGGTAAAGGGTTTTATTATTGATAAATAAATTTTTTATAAATTATGCTCCATTTGTCGTTTTTGTTTTTTACCAACCTTTTATTTATGTGACAGTGAGATAGTGTGACGTCTTTACTGGGCTAATGTAGCTCATTTTTTACTTAACAATTTCAGATCAAGAGGGCTTAGTTCCTGAGCCCGTTCCGCAGGAAGATGGCGAGTACATGCCTAAAGATTTTATAGTTTTCCTTATAGTATTCATTTTTAGTATTTACTTTAGTTAGCTTATTATTTAATACGTTTAATACGTTTTGGTTATTGTGTAAGGAATGTTAATCATAATATTTTATTTCGCTTCCGTACTTATAATTTTTATATATACGTTTCTTTTTAAATTTCAAGGTCGTTACAAAATATGTATTTTAAGATGATTACATAATTTACATACTTCAATAAATATCAAACAATATGGTGTGTATATAGCACATAAATAAATATTAATAACTATACAAAATAGAAATATGAAAAAAGCATGTACATATATGATGAAATAAAATTTACATTTATTATATTTTATCGTAAATAAATGAATCAACCAAGTATTTTTAATATAATAATTTAAATAATATTAATTGTGTGCCAATATTAAAAATTCATAATAACTGAAAAATTTGTAAATAAGAATTTATTTAAAAAAAAATGAGAGAATATATTAAAATATTCAAATACAAAAATTATAAAATAACTTATGGTAAATTCAAATATAAAACAAGACAGATACATTATTATTATTATTATTATTATTGGGGCGAGATTTAGTATTAATTAAAGCATGGTGATGAGGTAATGGACGCATTACGTGCGGGCATGAATAAGAGTGGGTACCTCCCTCTACAGTGGATAAAATATTGAAGAGTATTTTATAATAAAATAAATGAATATTTTTATAATTTTATTTAAATTATAAATAGTATTTATATAAATTATCCTAAAACTACACGTCCGAGTTATAATTTAATAAATTAGTTATATAATATATAAATTGTGGTTAATTAAAAATTATTTATAAATTTAAAAACTATACAGCGTAATTTTGTAATTAATTAAAATTAAAAATTTTATTTTTATATTTTAAAAATTAAATAAATAAGATCTAAAATTTACCTTTATATATAACATATATACTTATAATTAATATTGATATATATATATATATATTTTGTTTTTTATTTCAAAAATAAAAGAATCCCGTATAGCATCCTCAAATTCGATGAGGAGTTAATAATTGGGCCTATTTATTTGGGCTCGGAATCACGTGTAAATCTCTCCTGTTAAAATAGACATCGTAACTACACGTTTGGGCCCTGTTTAATTAAATTATAAGAAGGTGTTTTGATTTTTTTCCCCTTAAGAAATTTTTTTAGTTGTTTCGAATTAAAAATTATGTTTTGAAAATGAAAGCAAACAATTTATAGGGAAGATAAGTGATTAAACTTAGTTACAAAAAATAAAGTATATTCTTAAGTAAGCTTATAATACTTATTAACTGAAATTTAACCCATAACATTATAAGTTATATTATTATTTCTATTGATATAATATAAATTATTATCTCATTTTGCAAGTATTCTGCTTGACTTACGTACCAAATTTTTTTAATTATATTTGATTTTCTTACAAATGATGTTAATTGATAAAGTTGAATTAAAGAAGAGGATAATACGTGATAGGTAAATATATTTAATAAATTGAGGTTTCATTGATGATTTTTAAGACGGTATTTCTTAATAAAAAAAAAATTTATTAAGATGAATACACAAATAATATTGAATTCTATCTCAATAAATTTAGAGATTGATACCATAAAAGAGTAAAAAAAACAAAAAAAATATATAAAAAATATTTAAAAATTTTTTAATTGAAAAATATGTAAAATTTAAAAAGTATTAATATTTGTCAATTTATTTGTAATTGATAAAATTCATAATTTATTTCTTCAACGAATAAAGTTACATATTATTGATAGTGATTTTTTGTGTGATTAAAGTTAGTAAATCTCATAATAGTTTTATATAGGCATTTGGAATGAACAAACTCCCATATAGTATACTATGATAAGTGTATATGTCACATTATGACAAGTATATATTATCACATGTTTTTGAATGTGTCATACCATTAGGATCATGTGATATTTGTAGGCTATGTTAGGGTGGTCATTTTTGGCCCAATTATTTAGTACCTAAGGTAAGCACCCATTCCGATTAAGATGTATGCGCTCGTGTATATACATATATATATATATATATGTATATTATGTCATAACGAACTCTATGCTCCTCCATTGTAATTTTTTATTTTAATTTTTATTAATCCTCGTATGTTGCTTTTATTTATTTGACGATTCAACTCAAGCCAACTCGCTCGGCGATGAACACAGAGTAGGCTGCCTCTTACTCTCCAACTAACTCCACCTCGTCTTCTCCGCCCCCTCCTCTTTCTATTTCTCTCCTCTCCTCTCTTCTTTTTCATCACTCACATTATTCCTTCTTCTCTATCTTCTATTTCTCAAGGAAGGAAAATGGCTTCCTTTCCTTTCCTTTCCAAGATTTCTATCTCTAACACCAATGGCGCCACCATTTCCTTCTCATCCTCCGTCGCATCTCTCCCTCGTCGCATTCCTTCCCCCTCATTTCCCACCCGACCTCGCCGTGGGACCCTCACCGTCGAATCCAAGATCAGGGAGATCTTCATGCCCGCCCTCTCCTCCACCATGACCGAGGGAAAGATCGTTTCCTGGGTCAAATCCGAGGGCGACAAACTCTCCAAGGGCGAGAGCGTCGTGGTCGTCGAATCTGACAAGGCCGACATGGACGTCGAGACCTTCTACGACGGTATCCTTGCCGCCATCGTAGTCGGGGAGGGTGAAACTGCCCCTGTTGGTGCTCCTATCGGCTTACTTGCCGAGACCGAAGATGAAATCGAAGAAGCCAGGCTAAAGCCGCTTCCAAATCCTCTTCTTCTACTCCTGCTGCCGTATCTCCCACGCCTCCTCTGCTACTTCCACTCACGCTCCGGCGATTGCGCAGCCGTCCCCGCCTCCTAAAGCACCAGCTCCTGAGGGGCCGA